CCGGGGGCAGTGGGGGCAGGCGGCTGCTGCACGAGGCTCTGGGCGGTGGTGGCCGGCTGGGCAGGCGGTGCTCGGTGGCTGGACAGGCAGTCCTGGAGCTGGAGCCTCTCTGTGGCCCCTCAGGCACTGAAAGACCTGCAGATAGGAGGGCTCTGTGGACCCCGGCCCTGCGCAGGGTGCACTGTGCAGGTCTCATCTCTCACACGCATTGCTTTGGGCCTATCTGCTTGACCTCCATCTGCCATAGTCTGGACCAGCCCCTTGGTCCAGCTGCAGTCCTCCAGCGCCAGCCTTGCCGGCTTGTGTCCGACTGTTAAGTTCACTGCTGCCTGTGCTCCAGCAAGAAATGCCCCACGGCCGCTGCCGCGCTCTTCGCGGCTGTGAGCACAGCGCAGGCCTGCTGCCACTGCAGCTTTGCAGCCGTGCAGGATGGCTGTGGCAGCCACCACCCTGCCAAGGGGCTCCGCTGTGTCACCCTTGTCACCCTTGTGGGAAGGTCCAGAGTGTGAAAGGGCTGGCATGGAAAAAGGCGCCTTGCTGGGCCTGGAAGGAGGCTGCCGGGAGCAGGGAAGACAGTGCTCTCCTGTCAGCTAATGCTGCGACTGCGGCCGGTTGGCACGGCCCATACCTGGTGCCAGCTGCCTCCAGCACTGCCCAGCGGGTCAGAGCCTCAGGCTCCAGGGTAAGACTAACCACCGTGGTCCTGCTCTGCTCTGCTCCCAGAGACCCGGCTCAGGATGCGTCAGGCTAAAGAGCCCAGGAGAGGCCGGGCAGGAGCTGTGTGAGTCAGGTCACAGCCGCTGTGGGGCACGAGATGGGCCTCGCCACAAGGCAGCAACGCTGGGCAGCTTCGCAGGCCTCTTGGCAGCCAGGACAAGGCTTGTCTCAGGGCCGAGGCCCTGGCAGAGGTTCATAAACTCAGTTGTCACAAGAATCGATAGGGAACAACCCCGTTTATTGAGTGCTCCAACCGCCAGCAGCAGACTCACAAAGAAAAAATCTATTTTCACTGCAAAGCATAACCGGACTGTGGTGCTCACCGAGGCCAGGGCAGACCGGACAGCCAGCTCCTCGGCAGCATTAACCCCGGCTCTGAGCCGTGACACCGAGCTCAGGCCATGCCTAACCCATGGCACATGCTAGGCAGCTGCACCAGGCGCGCAGTGCTCCCACTCCTCGCCCTCTCCCGGGATCTGCCACTGGAAAAGGACGGACCACCCCCGCAGGGCAGAAACACCCCAGGCGTGTGGGGCCAGGGGCTGGGGAGGGGAGTGAGCAAGAAGGAGGGAGAAATGCCTCGAGGGGCAGAGCTGCCCCCTGGCACCAGCAGGATCCAGGAGCAGCCAGGCCATGCTGGGCCTGCACAGGCAGGGATGGGAAGCTCCCTGGGCTGGTGCTGTGCAGGGTTTGGGGGCCAGCCTCCGAGACGGCAGGAAGGCAGGAGGCTTCGGGGGCTCCTGCCCTAGTGAGGGTTAGACACCAGGCTCAGCTCCACTCGACGCGAGCCTCGTGGCTCTGCTTGGGGAGTGGCCTTGCCCGCTGTGGGAGCAGTCCCCAGTGCTCGGCCACCCCGGCCTGCCCGCGCTGAGCTGCCTGTGGCTGGGGTGAGGGCAGAGAGCGGCGAGGACCCTGC